TAAAACTTATAATTTTTTATAAATTATATTATTAAATAAGTTAATGTATATAATAATATGAGTCTAAATGAAATAAAAAATAAATTATAAAATAATATAAGATTTATATTTTTATATTTTAAATAATATAATTCATATCATTAATCTTAAATTTGATTCTTATAAAAAAAAATTTCTTTATTTATTAAAAAAGAAAGAGATAAAAATGGAAAATAAAAAGACAGTAATAGAAATTTGAGGAATATTATTTAAAAAAAAAAGGGAAATCAACAATGTAGGTTTACGATTACAACGACCGAAATGAAAACCAATGAAGGTTAACAGCTATTTCCTTGTTTTTGGCACAACTACAAGAATAATTTTTGTTAAATATAATTGCCACATGTCACTATTAGAACCGCGTGTGCCCGAGAGAGTGCAAATGAGCGACTGCTCCTAACACTGCTCTTACAAAAATATTTATCTATTTTTGCTCTTTAATTCTAAAACCGAGAAAACAAAAATAAAAACAAAAATAAAAGTCATAATTTGGGGGCCACATGATAAAAAGATGGGAAAGACTTCGGATGATACGTAAATTAAAGTTGCTTGGAATTGTGTATATATATATATATATATTTTTAACATAGTTTGTAAGGAGCGGGTTTCAAATCCTGCACAGAGATGTATTAGTGGTTAATGTCACTGGATCTTAAGGGTTGGGTGCACTTGGAATTGTTTATTTTTTTTAGTTAAATTTTTGAATTTTGATGTAATAGTTCTGGTCATGATTGGCATGTCATACCAATACTCAGTATTAATTGGTATATGAAAAATCGCCTCTCTTATTAGAGTGAGGCCATGACTTGACCTTCACTCTATCTCACAATCTGCAATGGATCCTTTTCTAGATTTTTGTTATAACGGAAGTACATGACAATTTGTCTAGGTAACTTCTGCGTCATTGCTTATGTTTTCATTTTATGTGTGATAATTTTCAGATGTGTCATAACGAAAATTAAATGAGACTCATACCTGGTCCAAAATTAATCCCAGTCCAAGCACCACATTTCTTTCAAAATGTTGTTTTCGTATATGGCCTGGGAAAGGGTAATCTTAATCCCCGTTTTTT